CAACAAAACTTGGTATATACATGTATTACGAAATCAGATAATTGCAAATATCATGTTATGTTATTCTCTCAACACGCTGGAATTTTTTTTAAGCTCTCTTTGATTCTAATTTTATTGAATATTTCTGTTATTTTTGGAAAAAATTCCACTTTTAGCATTATGTTTTATTGTCTCACTCACTGCCTTTTGGGGTATTTGTCATATACAGCACTAATCTGTTGTACAATAGCCGTTGAGCAACAGGCCATTGGTCTATTTTTAGCTCCGCTGTCGACTTTGTCGAGCCGAGCTTATCATATGAGTGATTGTCCGTCGTCCGTGTCAATGTTTTACTTTTTCGACTTCTTCTTGAAAACTACAAGCCTGAATGCTTTGATATTTGGTGTATATGTACCTTGGGTAGACCTCTCTCAGATTTGTTCATTTTGTGATGATATCTTCAATTCTCTAATTTTGGTGAATATTTTTGTCATTTTTGGTAAAAAGTGTACCGGTAATTTTTGACTTCTTGTTAAAACCGCAAGTCCAATTGCTTTGATATTACATATATAGGTACTACATGTGGACCTTTCTCAGATTTGTTCATTTCATGATGATATCTTTAATTCTCTAATTTTAGTGAATATTTTTTTAATTTTTGGTAAAAAGTTATTTTTTCCACTTGTTAAAAACCACAAGTCTGATTGCTTTTATATTGCATATATACTGTAAAATGACAAATTTTCATTGGGTTTAAATTACGCTGATTTACCATTCTGGGCATATTCAGTGAGTTTTAAATTCACTGTTCTATCATTTAGATAATGTCTTCTATGCTAAATTTTACATATTCACTGGGTTTTAATTTAGCGCATTTTCCAGTCAGCGAAATAAGCATAATTAAAACATAGTGAATAATTAATCCTGTTACAGTAGGTACTACATGTGGACCTCATTCTGATTTGTTAATTGTGTGGTGATATCTTAAATTTCTAATTTTGATGATTATTTTTGGTGAAAAAGTGATATTTTTGAATTCTTGTTGAAAACAGTAAGTCCTGTTGCTCTGATACTATACATATTGTTCATAATGATATCTTCTGTTCTTTAATTGCAATGTGCATTGCTAACAGCGGAGCTATCTCAGCCGACTGGCTGCTTGTTTAGATTGTAAATTGTATTAAAAATAGTCAAAAAATTAGGCAGGAAGTCATGGTCACTTTAGTTAAATTTCATTCCTACAAACTCCCTCAATTTATTAGTTCTGTTTGAACGATATATGCATACCGGTATGCCTAATATTTTATGTGGGATATATGCATACCGGTATGCCTAATATTTTATGTGGGATATATGCATACCGGTATGCCTAATATTTTATGTGGGATATATGCATACCGGTATGCCTAATATTTTATGTGGGATATATGCATACCGGTATGCCTAATATTTTATGTGGGATATATGCATACCGGTATGCCTAATATTTTATGTGGGATATATGCATACCGGTATGCCTAATATTTTATGTGGGATATATGCATACCGGTATGCCTAATATTTTATGTGGGATATATGCATACCGGTATGCCTAATATTTTATGTGGGATATATGCATACCATTATGCCTAATATTTGATGTGGGATATATGCATACCGGTATGCCTAATATTTTATGTGGGATATATGCATACCGGTATGCCTAATATTTTATGTGGGATATATGCATACCGGTATGCCTAATATTTTATGTGGGATATATGCATACCGGTATGCCTAATATTTGATGTGGGATATATGCATACCGGTATGCCTAATATTTTATGTGGGATATATGCATACCGGTATGCCTAATGTTTTATGTGGGATGTATGCCTAATATTTTATGTGGGATGTATGCCTAATATTTTATGTGGGATGTATGCATACCGGTATGCCTAATATTTTATGTGGGATATATGCATACCGGTATGCCTAATATTTTATGTGGGATATATGCATACCGGTATGCCTAATATTTTATGTGGGATATATGCATACCGGTATGCCTAATATTTTATGTGGGATATATGCATACCGGTATGCCTAATATTTTATGTGGGATATATGCATACCGGTATGCCTAATATTTGATGTGGGATATATGCATACCGGTATGCCTAATATTTGATGTGGGATATATGCATACCGGTATGCCTAATATTTTATGTGGGATATATGCATACCGGTATGCCTAATATTTGATGTGGGATATATGCATACCGGTATGCCTAATATTTTATGTGGGATATATGCACGTGTAGTAGACTGGCAGCCATTTTTGTTGTTGAAAATGTTATATGCTTTGTTCGTTTATGTTCAAATTTGGTACGTACATTACGGTATACATGTTTTGTTTCAAATGGATCAAAGATACATCTGATTTTTTGACGATATTAACTGGTCTAATATTCAATCTCATTTACTGTTAATACACTATAGATTCATTCACCTGATCATATAACCACTGATTTGCCTACGTTGTTTTCTTATAGCATATAGATGTCCATTACAATTCAATTTGTGATTAGATAAAAGACAACAGACTTGCACCCATCTTGCTTTTTGTCAATGTTTATTGTAGGCATGAATAACATTTCTCCTAAATGCAACTAATTAACAATGACTTGTTGAATCACATTCATAGCAGTGGGAATTGAATGTTTTTAAAATGGTCAGTATATCAGTATTTTTGTCTTACAGTAACAAGTAAGATCGACATATAGACCATGCTGGGTTAGTCAAATGGCATGCTAGTTTAGTGTACATGATGAAATATGTGTATACACTGTACATGTAGCGACTCAGCAAGATGGCCTTGCATACACACACACATACATACATTTGTTGTTCAATTCAGTAATAGTAAAGTGTAGTACCGTACTCCCCAGGGTTTAAAAAGTAAGGGGTGGGCTTATACTCAAAGACCACCTCAGAAAAAAAAATATTTTGTTGGTGCATTTAAAACTGTAACCATCTTCCCAACCTCGAAACATTATCCAAATTACATTTTTCATTTACAGTGCCGGTCTCAGAGGAATATTACGTCTTTTTGAGGGAAGAAATGAGAAGCGAGTTGCCATTGATTTCAACAACACTTTTTACAATGAAGAAACAAACATGTTCATAAAAATACAAACAATTTATTACAATACGGTTTACATGCGGTCTGAATTTACAGTGCAAAAATGGGTAGGGTCTGTAGGAAAACGGTCGAAGGCAAGATCGTACGCAAACTTGATACAAAGCTATTTCCACCATGGTTTTATCATAATTTGACCTGAACAACTTCCTTTGACCTAACAGGTCACGTCTTCGATAACCAATGAAAATGTTGTGTCATACAGTCAAAGTTTACCAATTATTGACGAAGTATTTATTTCAACGCATTGCAGAAGTGAATTACTGCGATGTTGAAATGCGATCTGTTAACACTGATTTTGACAAAAAAACAGTGATTTTTTCACCTAAAAGCTGTTGATTTGAAAGGAAGGGTGAGGGAAGTATTTAAACCTTTCACAGCCTCCAAAAAGTCATGTCGAAGAATAGTTTGCTCGTTCACACCCCATTCATGATAGACGCAATGGACAAGATTATTTGGAGAAGTGAAACTATGATCAGTGACCACGTTTCACGACTTATCGATTTTTGCTGTTTGTAAAACTACTACTCAAAAGAAATATGGAATATTTCAGTATTGCAACATCGTGGTTCATCCTGAATAAATAACAGATTATAAAACGTGTGAACTATGTTCCATCACGTACGTTTGCCCGCCGTGCACTCTGAAATTAAGTTTTCTCGTAGAACTGGAACCAAACTACCGTACCAATCATGATTTTTATGCAATGAAGTTCCCTTTTTAGTCGCCGTTCGGACACAGTTCAAAAACGGGGACTAATGTTTTGACCTCTGTGTGTCCGTCCGTCCGTGCGTGCGTCTGTGCGTGCGTCCGGACCTGTATCTTAGAAATGCCTGCACCAATCACAATCAAACTTAACACGTACATCATACATGATAGTATACATATGCACATCAATTTGTTTCACGATCTGATTCAAGATGGCTGAATGGCGGCCATTTTGTGCTAAAAAATCATCAAAATCAAGCATTTTTTGTTCAAACTTGGTATATACATTAGACATTATGGGACCTTGATGCAAATAATTTTGTTTTTTAGATAAGATTCAAAATGGCTGACTGGCGGCCATTTTGTTTTAATGAATGTGGTTCTCGTGCCATATCTCTGACTTGCTTTTACTGATTATGTTCAAATTTTAAATATTCATTATACATCATGTCATAGATATATTGGTTTGACGATCCTATTCAAAATGGCCAAATGGTGGCCATTTTTGTGCTAAAAAAATCATCAAATATCAAGCATTTATGGATGGATTTCGTTCAAACTTGGTACATATGTTAGACATTACAGGTTCCTGATGCACATCATTTATTTTTCAGATCGGTTTCATAATGGCTGTCTGGCGGCCATTTTGTTTTAATGATTGGGCTTCTAGAGCCATATCCCTTAAATGCTTTGACTGATTATATTCAAATTTTATATATTCGTTATACATCATGTTATATCTATACATGTATTCAAAATGGCTGATTTTGAATGCTGTTCCAGAGCAATATCTCTCAATATGGACAAGTACTTTTTTGACGATCAGATACAAATGTCAATCATTTTAATGTTAAAAAATCATATTCCTGACATGGTTATATTCCAGCTATATTACTATAAGCAAAACTATATATCTAAAATTTGATAACTAAAGGGGACTGTGCCATGCATGGCTTGTTATATGCATATTTTAATAAATATCGTCAACGCCCGGTAAAAACACCCTGGGCCTATACTCGGGGATGCCTTCAACTTGTTAAATGTCCAAAAACAGAGAGGTGGGCTTATACTCGGGGGAAGTACGGTACATGAATTTCAACATTCTCTTATGGCTGTTGTTTTCTCTCCACAGTTGCCCATACCTAGCAGAGAATCTTACTCCAGCCATCCCAATCGTAGCTATTTTACTATTTTTATTCGTCATGGCGACTTTACTTCGAACTGCTTTTAGCGACCCAGGAGTCATTCCCAGAGCTACCCCAGATGAAGCAGCTGATATAGAAAAACAAATTGGTGAGTTGGAACATTACGTATCATAGACTTGACATATTCTTATCTTCACAACAGTACTGCTGTATCACTAACTTTACCAGCCAGCTCATCTGGTATATACTGGAGTATACTACTGTGTCTGATAGGGCTTTGTGTTGTTATACCAATAGTATAGTTCACAAAAACAACAATGTACTCCATATACCATACTGTGTTCATTTGTAATATAGTACATGTGTTTGTCTCATTTCAGAGGTGCCTAATCCCAACAACCCCACATACAGACCACCACCTAGGGTTAAAGAAGTCATTATAAATGGACAGACAGTTAAACTTAAATATTGTTTCACATGTAAGATATTTAGACCACCCAGAGCTTCACATTGTAGTATATGTGATAATTGTGTAGGTAAGTATTTACTGTAGATCAATTAGGTACAGGCACACCCTTGTACAGTTAACATATTCATGTTTTGCCTCTCTCCCTTCAACAAATGACCTTTTAAAATCAATATCCTGTTCTATTCTGCTGAATTATTTGATGCAACTGTGTTCTGCATTTATTCTTAGTAGTGTCTTTTATTTTCTAGTTTAAATGACGAAATGATAAATGAACATAACTCACTGAGATAACAGTGTAATCTGTTTTCCCAAAATGTTATGGTACAAGGAAATTGTCAAAATAACTTATATACTCAAGTAGAAATTACATAACTGCAAAATTCAGGCAAGCTTGGATCATACACAAGAAATATGGGTCAATTAGTTAACCAATCAAAGACGTCCATTCATGTATAGCTTTATGCAAACTTAAATCTTTTGAACATGTAATATATTCATGTTACAAAGAAAATTTTAAGATCTATTGTTTTAAAGCAATTAATAAACATGACTAAAACGTTGTACAACAAACTTTATTTCTATTTTTATCTTACTTTAAATGAATTTTATGATGAGTTTCATACAAATAGATTAAGAGTGTCAATGAAATGGTTTTAACTTTCAAGTACAAATGTCACTCATGAAAACGATATATCTTTTAACTGAACGCAAGCAAGTGGTCAGTGTGAAAAGTTGAGGGCCAGAACTGTGACAGTGTGAATACATTTCACTGTAGTTGAATACACTCGTATTTGATGTGGGAATCACTGTACGAAACAATTTGATTTGCTGAATTACTGATGTAAAATAGATCTTAAAGTGCCTGTGAAATGGCTGCTATTTTCACGCCTAAAATTATCCATTGATACATAAATATTATTAATTTTTATGTTTCTAAGCATGAATTATATTTTTAAGTGAAAAAATGTGTTTTAAACTCAATCTACGGCAACTTTATTTTTGTGTATTTTAAAACGAGGCTCCTCATTAGCTTCTTATTTGCATACAGAAATTCCCCTTGTGACGTCAGAAGGGGAAGTCGCATGGCAGCTTGCATCGCCGATACGTGTAAATAAGGCAAATTTCTTCTGCAGTTTTCTCATCTTTGACTAAATTTTCACTTATGTATATTTTCGTCGAGAAGGAATGAGCCTCAATGAACACATAGTATCAATTTTTGTTGCATGGGGTTGAGTTTGATGCGAAATATGTCTGTTCTGGTGTAGCTGGTCACCGTGATCATCAGCGGCGCACGTTTGTACACTGTTGCTGGACAAAATAGAATTTGACGTCGGAATTATCTCGTTATTTAGCAGGTCACTAGGCACGTCACTACACTGTTCTTTTTCATCGATCGTCTGAGTAAAACTTTTAAAATTAAAATAAAAGAGAACATATTTTGACATTCTAAACATTAGACTATAGTGATCACTATAAAATAATTAAAAAAACGACATCACAGTTACTAAATAAATGACAGCCGCGTGGAAATAAATTGAAATTTTGTTGAAATAGGTGAACGCGTCGGGTCACAACGAGGGCAAGTGCGTTACAGTCTGTAAA